TTCCACTTTGCTTCTGTTTTTATTTTCAGCCATTTATGTTTTGAATGGGTACTTCATTCACGTTTAAAAATTCAAAGGGTACAAAAGGAAAAAGCTCCCTTCCCACTCTATGACTTTTACCCTTCTGTACAAACGGAGCCAGGCACAGCCGGTGGGCAGTCATTGCGCAGCACTTCGCGAGCAGTTGGTGGAATGGAAGTGGTGTTACTTGGGCTGCAGCTTCCAGCTCTGTTTTTTCTGCAGCAATTTGATCTTTGGTGGCTGGGCCACGTATGCCACCATTGTTAGAATTAGGGTTAGTTGAGAGTGATAGAAACTGCAAGCAAGAGTGGCTTAAAGAAGATACATACTTATTTCTTCTTCACATGGGTAAAGTCTTAAAGTAGCCCAAAGCTGGTAGGGGTTTCATAGTCATCAGGGACCCATTTGTTGCTCTATCATCCTCCATGCATGGCTTCTATTTTAAGGCTCAAGGTGGCTGCGTGAGCTCCAGCCATCACATCTTCATCCTAGGCATTAGGTAGGAGGAAGGGAGGAAGGGTCTGATGCTACTCTTTCAGGATTGTCTCCTGAAGCTATAAGTGACATTTCCTCTTGCACCTTGTTGGCCGGGGGTGGTGGTGAAGCCACAACTCACTGTAAGGGGGGCCGGGAAGTGTAGTTTTGATTCTGGCTGGCTGTGTTCCCACTGATCCATGGAGTGTCTAGTACTAAGGAAGGAAGGAGAACAACTATCAAGGGACACCTGGCAGGCTCTGCTGCGATGCCCAAGTTTCAAACCCTTTGAAGTGGAAAAGCACTTTCTACATGGGGTGCCAGCTGAGAACGGGCAGAGACGTCAGGCTACCTCCCGCGCAGCGGCTCTAAGCACACTCTGGAGGCACAAGTTCAGACGGCGCTTTCGACTGCTTCCTACATAATAATGCGTAAGCCACACAGGCAGGCCTTTGTTAGGCTCAGAGCTCGATTCCCCGGGAAGAACTTCTCACCAGAGCCACGTCCCCTTAGAGCTCTTTCTGTGCGGGAGGCTTTGCCACACCACGGCCACTCCCCAGAGAGGATCCTGTGACAGCACTGAGTGATGTTTATTGCCTGGAGCTCCTCAGGCTGGAACCTGGCCTGTGGGGAGGGGCGGGCACCATCAGGAACAAAGACACATTGCTGAGCCTGGGCCACGAGGCTCCCAGCCGAGCCGACTCTCTGGAGTCTTGGAGAGGCCGTGTCTTGAATGCTTGGCTTTTCGATTGAGGAAGAAAAAGTGTTTTCCAAAGTCCCCAGGCTTCCTCTCACAGAAATCACATGGTTCCGGCGAGTCATGGAGGAGGGCAGGAGGATGGGGCCACCAAGGACATCCCATCACAGGTTGTGGAGAGGAGCCACAGGGGGGTGGGGGGTGCTGGAAACTCTCAGAGCACAGATGAGGGGAAGACGCCGGGTTCCAGAGCCCCATGACCATGGACATCTCCTCTGGGTCTGCTTCAGGAGCCCAGATCCCAGCTGAAGCTGAGAAGGCCACAGGCTGGGTGGGCTGAGCTGGGGACAGCGGGCAGATAGGAAACTGGAACCAGGTGGGAGCCTGGCAGCCAGTAGGCCAGGGTTTTTTGTCTCATTTGGAGAAGAGAAGGCAGGATGAGTGACCCTCCAAACTCCTGGGACTGGGAAGGAATGGATGGAAAATTGTCATGGCCCTTTGGGGAAAGAGGACAGGTCCTTAGGTGCACCCATAGGCAAGGCGGTACCCACGTGGTTTTGCCCTGCAGTGGCCAAGGCCGTGGGTCTGATTTGGTTGTCTGTGGGTAGGGCCAGGGCTCTGAGCCTTTAATACGCCCTCCAGGTGGCTTGTCTGTGATCAGGGTTGGAGATGCGGTGGGACCAGGTGAAGGCCCTGCCCGGACTGGCTCCTTCCCCACCAGAAGCAGCTGGATCCTTAATGGCAGCCTTCCCATTGTACAGAGAAGGCACTGGAGGCACCAGGGCCGACAGCAGGGCAGTGGTGCAGTTGGAATCCAACCCATCTGACAACAAAGCTACTCCTGAACGGTCTCTCCGCTGCTGCAGCATGTTGAGGGGTGCTGAGAGTAGGCCCCCCATAGAAGGGGTCTCCTTCCCAGCAGTGGGGAAGCCCTCCTGGGAAAAGGTGTCCCCATGTCATCAACATACCCAGTGTCCTCCCAGAGGCCTCCCAGCCTTGAAGGTCCCTGAGACCAAGTGCACACTCCTGGTGGGGAATTGGGGCTCCATCCTTGCACAGTTAGCCAGAGGACAGGCTCCTCTCTGTGCTGCTGTAAAGGGGACCAGGGACCCCAAGCTAGGCCTTGGTGAATCCATGCCAGGCATGGGGAGTTGAGACCCAGCTTCCCTGAGGGAGAGAGGTGGCACCTGCATGCAGAAGTGCCCCCAGCTGAACATGGGGTGAGGACAGTACTGGCCTGATGGCTCTGGGGTGAGGACTGAGGGGAAGCAGTGGGGAGCTGGCCCACCAAGGATGTGGCAACAGCTGGTGACAAATGTCGGGTGTGAAGAGTGGACGGCAGGAATGGGTTGGGTGGGTTAGAGTGGCAGCTGACCATGACGGTGGTTGTGGAAGAGGGGGTGCCTTTGTCCAAATCCAGAACCCTGAGGAGTGAGGTCAGATGAGTCTTCCCCAGCAGAATGGGAGGGGGTGGGGGGACCATGTG